AAAAAGAAAGAAAGAAAGAAAGAAACGCCCTTTCAATATCCCATGAATAATGGAAATTCTGTCTTTCCAAAACTTCATAAATGATGGACTGCTCCGTTTTGATCAGTGAGAAAATGAAAGAAAGAAAGAAAGAAAGAAAGAAAGAAAGAAAGAAACGCCCTTTCAATATCCCATGAATAATGGACTATTCCGTCTTTCCAAAACTTCATAAATGATGGACTGCTCCGTTTTGATCAGTGAGAAAATGAAAGAAAGAAAGAAAGAAAAAGAAAAAAAAAAAAAAAAAAGAAAGAAAGAAACGCCCTTTCAATATCCCATGAATAATGGACTATTCCGTCTTTCAAAACTTCATAAATGATGGACTGCTCCGTTTTGATCAGTGAGAAAATGAAAGAAAGAATGAAAGAAAGAAAGAAACAAAAAAAAGAAAGAAAGAAACGCCCTTTCAATATCCATGAATAATGGACTATTCCGTCTTTCAAAACTTCATAAATGATGGAAATCAGTGAGAAAATGAAAGAAAGAAAAAAGAAAGAACGAAAGAAAGAAAGAAACGCCCTTCAATATCCATGAATAATGGACTATTCCGTCTTTCCAAAACTTCATAAATAATGGACTGCTCCGTTTTGATCAGTGAAAAAATGAAAGAAAAATGAAAGAAAGAAAAAGAAAGAAAGAAAAAAAACCCCTTTCAATATCCCATGAATAATGGACTATTCCGTCTTTCCAAAACTTCATAAATGATGGACTGCTCCGTTTTGATCAGTGAGAAAATGAAAAAAGAAAGAAAGAAAGAAAGAAAAAAAAAAGAAAGAAAGAAACGCCCTTTCAATATCCATGAATAATGGACTATTCCGTCTTTCCAAAACTTCAAAATGATGGACTGCTCCGTTTTGATCAGTGAAAAAATGAAAGAAAGAATGGAAAGAAAGAAAAGAAAAAAAGAAAGAAAGAAAAGAAACGCCCTTTCAATATCGCATGAATAATGGACTATTTTGAAAACTTCATAAATGATGGACTGCTCCGTTTTGAATCAGTGAGAAAATGAAAGAAAGAAAGAAAGAAAGAAAAAAGAAAGAAAAAGAAAAGAAAGAAAGAAAAAAAGAAACGCCCTTTCAATATCCCATGAATAATGGATTATTCTGTCTTTCCAAAACTTCATAAATGATGGACTGCACCGTTTTGATCAGTGAGAAAATGAAAGAAAGAAAGAAAGAAAGAAAGAAAGAAAGAAAGAAAGAAACGCCCTTTCAATATCCCATGAATAATGGACTATTCCGTCTTTCCAAAACTTCATAAATGATGGACTGCTCCGTTTTGATCAAAAAATTGAAAGAAAAGAAAGAAACAAAAAAAGAAAAGAAAGAAAGAAACGCCCTTTCCAAATGAATAATGGACTATTCCGCTTTCCAAAACTTCATTTGGACTGATCAGTGAGAAAATGAAAAAAGAATGAAAGAAAGAAAAAAAAAAAAGAAAGAAAGAAAGAAACGCCCTTTCAATATCCATGAATAATGGACTATTCCGTCTTTCAAAAACTTCAAAATGAACTGCTCCGTTTTGATCAGTGAGAAAATGAAAGAAAGAAAGAAAGAAAGAAAGAAAGAAACGCCCTTTCAATATCCCATGAATAATGGACTATTCCGTCTTTCCAAAACTTCATAAATAATGGACTGCTCCGTTTTGATCAGTGAGAAAATGAAAGAAAGAATGAAAGAAAGAAAAAAGAAAGAAAGAAAGAAACGTCCTTTCAATATCCCATGAATAATGGACTATTCCGTCTTTCCAAAACTTCATAAATGATGGACTGCTCCGTTTTGATCAGTGAGAAAATGAAAAAAGAAAGAAAGAAAGAAAGAAAGAAAGAAAGAAACGCCCTTTCAATATCCCATGAATAATGGACTATTCCGTCTTTCCAAAACTTCAAAATAATGGACTGCTCCGTTTTGATCAGTGAGAAAATGAAAGAAAGAATGAAAGAAAAAAAAGAAAAACGTCCTTTCAATATCCCATGAATAATGGACTATTCCGTCTTTCCAAAAACTTCATAAATGATGGACTGCTGCTTTCAATATCCCATTTGGACTATTCCGAAAACTTCAGGACTGATCAGTGAAAAATGAAAGAAGAATGAAAGAAAGAAAAAAAAAGAAAGAAAGAAAAAGAATAATGGAATTCTGTCTTTCCAAAACTTCAAAATGATGGACTGCTCCGTTTTGATCAGTGAGAAAATGAAAGAAAGAAAGAAAGAAAGAAAGAAAGAAAGAAAAAAGAAAAACGCCCTTTCAATATCCATGAATAATGGACTATTCCGTCTTTCCAAAACTTCATAAATGATGGACTGCTCCGTTTTGATCAGTGAGAAAATGAAAGAAAGAATGAAAGAAAGAAAGAAAGAAAAAAAGAAAGAAAGAAAGAAACGCCCTTTCAATATCCCATGAATAATGGACTATTCCGTCTTTCCAAAACTTCATAAATGATGGACTGCTCCGTTTTGATCAGTGAGAAAATGAAAGAAAGAAAGAAAGAAAGAAAGAAAGAAAAAAGAAAGAAAGAAAGAAAGAAAACGCCCTTTCAATATCCAAATAATGGACTATTCTGTCTTTCCAAAACTTCATAAATGATGGACTGCTCCGTTTTGATCAGTGAGAAAATGAAAGAAAGAAAGAAAGAAAGAAAGAAAGAAAGAAAGAAAGAAAGAAACGAATATCCCATGAATAATGGACTATTCCGTCTTTCCAAAACTTCATAAATGATGGACTGCTCCGTTTTGATCAGTGAGAAAATGAAAGAAAGAATGAAAGAAAAAAAAGAAAGAAAAAAAAAAAAAGAAAAGAAAGAAACGCCCTTTCAATATCCCATGAATAATGGACTATTCCGTCTTTCCAAAACTTCATAAATGATGGACTGCTCCGTTTTGATCAGTGAGAAAATGAAAGAAAGAATGAAAGAAAAAGAAAACAAAAAAAAAAAGAAAAAACGCCCTTTCAATATCCCATGAATAATGGACTATTCCGTCTTTCCAAAACTTCATAAATGATGGACTGCTCCGTTTTGATCAGTGAGAAAATGAAAGAAAGAAAGAAAGAAAGAAAGAAAGAAACGCCCTTTCAATATCCCATGAATAATGGACTATTCCGTCTTTCAAAACTTCATAAATAATGGACTGCTCCGTTTTGATCAGTGAAAGAAAATGAAAGAAAGAATGAAAGAAAAAAAAAAAAGAAAGAAAGAAACGTCCTTTCAATATCCCATGAATAATGGACTATTCCGTCTTTCCAAAACTTCATAAATGATGGACTGCTCCGTTTTGATCAGTGAGAAAATGAAAGAAAGAAAAAAGAAAGAAAGAAAAGAAACGCCCTTTCAATATCCCATGAATAATGGAATTCCGTCTTTCCAAAACTTCAAAATGGACTGCTCCGTTTGATGAAAGAAAAATGAAATTTTCTAGAAAAAAACTTGAATAATGGACTATTCCGTCTTTCAAAACTTCAGAAATGATGGACTGCTCCGTTTTGATCAGTGAGAAAAAAGAAAGAAAGAAAGAAAGAAACGCCCTTTCAATATCCCATGAATAATGGACTATTTTTTCCAAAAACTTCATAAATAATGGACTGCTCCGTTTTGATCAGTGAGAAAATGAAAGAAAGAATGAAAGAAACAAAGAAAAAAAAAGAACGAAAAAAAAAACGTCCTTTCAATATCCCATGAATAATGGACTATTCCGTCTTCCAAAACTTCATAAATGATGGACTGCTCCGTTTTGATCAGTGGAAAAAAGAAAGAAAGAAAGAAAGAAAAAGAAAGAAAGAAACGCCCTTTCAATATCCCATGAATAATGGACTATTCCGTCTTTCCAAAACTTCATAAATGATGGACTGCTCCGTTTTGATCAGTGAGAAAAAAGAAAGAAAGAAAGAAAGAATGAAAGAAAAAGAAACGTCCTTTCAATATCCCATGAATAATGGACTATTCCGTCTTTCCTTCATAAATAATGGACTGTTCCGTTTTGATCAGTGAGAAAATGAAAGAAAGAATGAAAGAAAGAAAGAAAAAAAAAAAAAAAAAGAAAGAAACGTCCTTTCAATATCCCATGAATAATGGACTATTCCGTTTTCCAAAACCATGAAAGAAAAGAATGAAAGAAAGAAAGAAAGAAAAAGAAAAAAAGAAAGAAACACCCTTTCAATATCCCATGAATAATGGACTATTCCGTCTTTCAAAACTTCATAAATGATGGACTGTTCCGTTTTTCAGTGAGAAAATGAAAGAAAGAAAGAAAGAAAGAAAGAAATAAACGCCCTTTCAATATCCATGAATAATGGAATTCCGTCTTTCCAAAACTTCATAAATGATGGAAGTGAGAAAATGAAAAGAAAGAAAGAAAGAAAAGAAAAGAAACGCCCTTTCAATATCCCATGAATAATGGACTATTCCGTCTTTCCAAAACTTCATAAATGATGGACTGCTCCGTTTTGATCAGTGAGAAAATGAAAGAAAGAAAGAAAGAAAGAAAGAAAGAAAGAAAGAAACGCCCTTTCAATATCCCATGAATAATGGACTATTCCGTCTTTCCAAAACTTCATAAATGATGGACTGCTCCGTTTTGATCAGTGAGAAAATGAAAGAAAGAATGAAAGAAAGAAAGAAAGAAAAAAAGAAAGAAAGAAAGAAACGCCCTTTCAATATCCCATGAATAATGGACTATTCCGTCTTTCCAAAACTTCATAAATGATGGACTGCTCCGTTTGAAAGAGAAAAAATGAAAGAAAGAAAGAAAGAAAAACAAATATCCCATGAATAAAATTCCGAAAACTTCATAAATGATGGACTGCTCCGTTTTGAAAAAAATGAAAGAAAGAAAATATCCCATGAATAATGAAAAACTTTATAAATGAACTGAAGAAAATGAAAGAAGAAAGAAAGAAAGAAAAAAAAAAAAAGAAAAAGAAACGCCCTTTCAATAAAATAATGGACTATTCCCTCTTTCCAAAACTTCATAAATGATGGAAAAAGAAAAATGAAAAAAGAAAGAAAGAAAGAAAGAAAGGAAGGAAGGATGGAAGGAAGGAAGGAAGAAAAAATGGAATAAAGAAAGAAAAAATTGAAAGAAAGCTAGAAATAAAATAAATTGAAAAAAGAAATAATAAAAAAGAAGCAAGAAAGAAATGATTGATTATATTCATTTTCTACGGCTTATCTTTGCAGGTTATTTAAAGCCAGAAAATATTTTTAGATTCTATGCATTTTTTTTCTACAATAATGGCTTAGTGACAGAACTCTTACTAATAAACCCACTGAGTGGGGAAGAAGAGGTGGATTGAAACTTTTCCCAGTGGTATTTGCGCGTAAGTCAATATAACAGATCGAATGGGAATTGGAACTCGCCTCTCCGATTAACAATTCATAGCCATTATCCATTACACCACCCACACATCTTACAGCATCTGTTATTTCCAAGCGGCGACCCACCTATATACTGACCAGATCGATGTCGCTTAACTTCGGTAATCGTACTGGAACAGGTGTTTCAACGTGATATGACTGTAACCCACCAGATAGAAGGAAAATATAACGTAAGAATGAACAAAGAAAAAAAATGAACGAAAGAAAGTATAGTAACAATTAAAAATGAATCTATCAAAAAAAGAATGAAATAATGAATGAAGGAAGAAGTTGAAAATAAATAAACATTAAAGAAAAAAGAAAGAAAGAAAGAAAGAAAGAAGGAAGGAAAGAGAGGGAGAAAGAATACGTCTAAATAGCGAAAAGGAAGAATGAATGAATTATTTAAGGAATGAAAGAATAATTAACGCTGAAAATAAATAAGCTAAAACGCCTGCAAAAGAAAAGAAAGTAAAAGAGAATGAATTGAGAAAAATTCAATGAAAATATTGATAAGAAAATAAAATGAATAAATGCATTAAAACGTACAAAAGAAAGAAAGAATGAAAAGAAAGAAAGAAAGAAAGAATGAAAAAAGAAAGGATAAAATAAACAAGAAAAAGAATAGGATAAATGAAAGAACGAAACAAAGGTTAAATGACATGTAAAGGTAGAAAGAAAGAAAAAAATAAAGACAGGAAGAAAGAAAGAAAGAAAGAAAGACAGAGAGAAAGAAAGACAGAAAGAAAGAAAGAAAGAAAGAAAGAAAGAAAGAAAGAAAGAAAGACAGAAAGAAAGAAAGAGAGAAAGACAGAGAGAAGGAAAGAGAGAAGGAAAGAAAGACAGAAAGAAAGAAAGAAAGAAAGAAAGAAAGAGAGCCAGAGAGAAAGAAAGAAAGAAAGAGAGCCAGAGAGAAAGAAAGAAAGAAAGAAAGAAAGAAAGACATAGAGAAAGAAAGAAAGAAAGAGAGAAAGAAAGAGAGAAATAAAGAAAGAAAGAAAGAGAGAAAGACAGAGAGAAAGAAAGAAAGGAACATAATTTGCAGAAAGAATGCATCCCTCCATGTATATATGAATGCATTTGAATATAGATGTGTGAAATAAACTGCAGCTAGCAAGGACATTTAAGATTTATTAGGAGTAGAACATATCGCTAAGATTTCTTTAAATGGGCGCTGAAGAATCGCGCATGTTGTTGGAATGATTTAGCATTGAGTACCTGTTCCATTATTGACCAGTTCTTTACATAATCCCATTAAATTCATTAAAATGGAAAGCACTTCGAACAGGCGATGGAAAATTACCGATTAATCAGGCTGTTGAACGTCGTTGTTATTTTAAACGCAAATCCGTAATAATACTGTTATTATCTTCACTTACAATAGCAACAAAAATAGAAAAAATTGTATGAAAAATTGTAATGAAAATGGCAGTCAATACGAGTTTTTTTTTAATGAAGTTATTAGACTTTGTGCGCCATTTTGAATGGAGATGGTTTTCGACCTTTTTCAATCATGGACAGTAATAAGGGCTTCTGTTTCAAACGATTAATCTAAATATGTCTTTTTTTTTCTTTGGTGAAAATTATTCTTTTTATGTGCCATGTTTACGACTTTTTATACTTCCTAGTTCTTGTCACCTATCACAGGAGGTAATAACACGTGTAGAGAAGTGTGCTCTATTTGTTATGGAAAAACAGAGGCAATACAAGTAACTGAACTACTTAATTACACGAACGTTAAATTGGATCAACAGCGATGACTTCACAGGCACGTGTGTCCATTATATATAATAGTACAGAATCACAAAGAAGTACCAAATAACAGAAGCCACATGAGGACTACCAACAGAAGCCACATGAGGACTACCAACAGAAGCAAGAACTGAGGACTACATGTAAATCAGCAAATAAGAACTCAAATTGTACATGTAAAAGAAAAGAAAAGGAAAATAATGAAAAAATCAAGAGGTTGTCCTATTTTCACACTAACTTCTTTTAAAAGAAAAGGTTTCAGGGAAAAAACTATCTGCTCCATCAATACTTGAAATAGAGCGATAAATGCTATATAGATTATCCATGTTAGACGGAACCTTTTATTTTCCTGAAGAAGACTTGTTTTTTAGATTTTTTAAATATTGAACTGAAAACAGTTTGATATCTGTCTTGAAAAAGGTTTAATAAATGCCAGACGTTACATTTCTTTCATAAAACGATTAATGGATTTTTGTTTATATATATATATATATATATATATATATATATATATATATATATATAAAAGTGAACATTGAAATCAGCATTCAGAAGTGACAGGACGCAACTGTCTATAATATAATCTAAGTGTAACCATTTCCTCAGATTATTGGTTAAAATGGCTCAAACGAATTCATTCTTTATATCTTAGAAACCATAATACTACAAAATCATGAAGTAAGTGGCTAGCTAACATAAATAACAACCGTTAAACATTTCGAACATCAACAAAAAAAAACAATGGCTAGCGCATGTTACTAAAAGGTAAACTAATGATTTAATGAAGATATTAACCTTCCACATGAACTAAAACAAAAGCTTTGGATGGAAACCCCTATAAATATTAAAAAGGGTTATAGTATTTATTGAGGATTTATATAGGCGTAATCGATAACAACGCAGATTGACGAAATCGGAGAGCCGAGTTCGAATTCCACTCGAATCCATTACATTCACTTACGTGCTTAGGAAGGGTATGAATCCTCTTATTCTCCCCCACCCCCGCTAGCTATGGGTAAATATCAGGGCGAGTTCTATAGCCTTGGATGGTAACTGGTCTACCTACTGCCGGAAAAAAATCTGCCTCGTCAATCATATATCGAAAGATACATAAGCGTGTATGAAAGTGTAAAAATAGGTTTGAATATCAGCAACACATTTTTGTAAAAAATTATTAGCAGCAATAAATTTTTGGAATAAAATATTACCAGCAATAAAAATAAAAAATTGTCGGTATTAAATAACCCATTGAGGTTGATATGCCGTAAAACAAACCAAATCTGCATCGTCAATCATGTATCTTTCGATACATGATTGACAAATCGTGTATCACGCATGGCACATAACTGAATGACTGAGTATTTATTAGACTTGACAAGTGTAAAAAAAAACCTGATCATAACACGAACTAGTTGATCAATGATTGTCGAATATATCTTGTATGGAAACGGCCCATTTTCATTACTAGTGCGAGGCGATTGCAACAGACTATTACTTTTAAGAATACTTAGGATGTTTAGCAATTGAAATGCTGATTTTTGTTTGTAGTTGACTGACCACCCTCGATCCTAAAACGTAGCATGATCGTGGCGAGACAGTTTTTTTCAATATCGCTAATGATGACACAGATGAAAGAGAGAAAGTGCCTCATGCCTTTTCAATGAATGAATATACAGCGAATAGAAACTAACACAGGAAGAACTAAAATTCAGTTCACCAATTCCGTATTTTCTTTATCAATAACAGCAACGCAACAACGCGTTAGTGGAAGGCAAATACCTTACACTTAAAAAATAATGTGGTCATTAATTTAAAAGTAATTAATACAGTTCATTAATTTTTCATTACGTAAGTCACTCATGGAAGGTTCCTTTTAACCAGCAAATTTAATCAGACCAAGAAAAAATGAAATTAAATCCAATCAATCTAGATTTTTTTTTAAAATCCGGGAATTAATAAAAGCAATGAAGCTTGATGAATGTTATCTTTATGGTGGCAGTGATTAATGAATTGAAAATTATAAGTTGCTATGAAGAATGTCTTTATATTGATCTGTCAACTGAGCTGAATGGAAAAAATCCACGAATAAACAGGATGCTTGCTTTTTAATAATTTCACCTGAAAGAAAACGATAATGCTACGGAGACGCAAAAGAAAGAACGAGAAATCTCTAGTGAGAAGAAAGGACAAAAGAAGAATGGGGTTCAAGAAGAGAAAAGAAGCCGATTGAAGCTGCATTAAAATATTTGAAGATCATGGTAGCAGAGAAGCTAGGGACCAGCTTCTAGTTCCATAGTCGAGAAATGCGATAAAATGAAACTGCTAGAATAGAATTTACAGTTACATCTAGCTTTTGTAACATCACGTACCCAAAAGAATTTACTGTTATATCTAGCTTTTTTTTTAACAATAAAACGGAGAGATCTCATAGCCAATCTCGTTGTACGCTTAAATTAATGGAGGACAGCTCATTAGTAAAATTACCATGACGATATGTATAGAAAAGACAGAGAGTAGTTACGTCATTGTCAGTGGGAAACTAACTGATGTCAGGATGCCAGATTAGGACTGATAACTTTACGGGACCCTTCTTTGGATTTTATCGAGAATCTGGAGAAAAATAGCAGGATGACTAGATCAGATTTTTTTAAGCGGTATCACGTACACCAAAAGCAAAGAATTGAATATTAGCAAGTGCATTGACGGTATTAAAATATATAATACATAAGCGACTTAGAGGTCCAGCTAATTGCGCATTTGACTTTTTCTGAATGGATGATATACTTATCAAAAATCTGAACTGTTCTCTAACCTATTAGAACCAGTGATGACGTGTTTTTCTGTTTTCTTATACATTATTTCTTTTTTCTGTCTCTCAATATCTACACACACACACACACACATATATATATATATATATATATATATATATATATATATGTGTGTGTGTGTGTGTGTGTGTGTGTGTGTGTGTATGTGCGCTTTCGCGCGTGAATTATTATATATATATATATATATATATATATATATATATATATATATGAGAGAGAGAGAAAGAGAGCGTCGAGGAGTGAGAGAGCAAGGCTATTTTTCTTGCTAATTACTTTGTGCATAGAAATGTTGCCAGGGATACAACGAGTCATTGTTCGTCAGGCACGGACCTGGCATGTCTACAAAGATTACTTTTTAAATGCAGAGAGAGAGAGAGAGAGAGGGAGAGAGAGAGAGTGTGTGTCAGATATACGTTGACGGATGGAAAATGTAAATTTATGTGCCGAATATCCTGTTTCAGATAACAATTTCTGACTGGACAACGACAGCCTGATGAATTTCTATGTCATTTTTTTACATCAAAAACCTATCGACGACTTTGAAATTTTAAGTTATTCAAAGAGAGTTGTTGGAGGGTGGTATGGCTTACTTGTTGCGAGTTGATACGAACACACAAACACACCCTCATATACAGATACACAGACACACGCACACTTATATTTTCGGATATTAAATCAGAAACATGTAAAAAAAACGCCACAGAAAGGCAATCATGTTTCAATGCGTATTAACACATCTCATCAATCTTTAGTAAATTGTTAGTTCACTAACGCCTCATGAGATCGAAACATGATTGCATTTGTGTAGTGTTTTTTTTTTACATGATTTTAATGTAGTATCCTAAAATACAGAATATTTAGGCAGTATATCTTCAATTTCTGCTATCTACAGTACCTTTCTTAAGGAAGTTAATAAGAAAATTAAGAAGTTGTTCCAAGAAGTTGAGAGGATTAAATAACACACACACACACACACACACACACACACACACATATATATATATATATATATATATATGTATATATATATTTAAGTTATGAAGAATTTGGTAAACCGAATTGGTAAATCCAAGGAGGATGAAATCCTGAGAGCTCAATGTGAAGAACAGAGCTAATATTTAATGAAAAACAGACCACTTTAAGGTACCATTACAATAATTTATTTCACCAAAATCCTTTTTAAAGGATTTCGGATCATCAGGTAACACATCCAACAATGAAATGAGATGAAAAATGTGATCATTATATATATATATATATATATATATATATATATATATATATATTCCAGTCGAATTCATTGCATTCACTTACGTGCTAATATCATTGGGAAAAGTATGAATCTTCTTCTCCCTCAAGCTATGGCTAAATAGCAGGACAGGTTGGGTTCTATAGCCTTTGATGGCAACTGGTCTGGGAGAAGAAAAACTCTGCAGGGGGTCGTTTGGGGGCCATGTGACACGTTGTGCACCAGGTCTCTGTATTTGGCCCTTCAAA